TTTCCGATCGAAATGGAAGTATTTTACATTCGTCATTATCTGAATCTAGTAATAATTAATTTTATTATAGTTCTAAATCTATTTAATTCGTTATATCTTTAGCTATTTCAGTTTCTACTCCAGTATCTGATATACCGACTAGACAATTTGAAAAAGATTCGACCTCTTCCAATGGTAAGCAAATATTTATTTTATCTATTTTCTACAAAATTTTCAATACTATAGAAACTGACATGAAAAATTCAACAACTCGATCAATTTCTCGTACTATATTAAAAACAGACCAAACGTAAGTAAATTTAATGAATATGTCTTGGAATCCGGAAAATTTCTGATATCATTATAACAGAAGAGAATGATAATATTCTTTCATAAATATTTATGGTTGTCTACGTCAACCATAATTATCGTCTGCCGAGTGCCATTCTACTTCACTGTGCTCTGCACTTCTATTAGCAAATATACATAGACATGCAGCTTGAGAGTGTGGGTTTTGTATCCACATCCACACCCATACCTTCTAGCTAAAATCAAAACACTTGCCAATAGAAATGTGACAGTTCCAATTGGAAAGAACTGAGCCTAAGCTTTCATAGTCCTAGTTGCCAAATATTTCGTGGGCGATACGATGAACATCTCGTGGGACTTTCTTTATTGGTAGCTAGTAAAAAGTGAACCGCGTCACCTCCCTTCAAATCAAATGATTTTTCTTCTTTGGTAAATAAACTGTTGAATCGTTTTTTAAAAACTTTCCGGATTTTGGGACAATACCAATTTGATTATTTCGAAATAAAAATTTCATTTTTATGTTTAGTTCTGTAACTGAATCCTCTATTCATACTGTATCAAAAGCTGAACGCGATCAAGAAATTCAAAAATATTATCGTAGTGATTTAATTAAACATTTAACTGATTGGCCATCATCTCAATTAGAAAAACAGGTATAGACGAAAAACAAAAACTTTAAAATGTAATTCATATTTTTTTCAATTTATTTTTAGTGTTTGAAACTTTTCGATGATTATTATCGTTATAGTGCTAAAATGTCGACAGCATTTATTGAGCTTAAAGCATTAAAATCGAACTTTCGCATACTTGAAATAAAACGAAGTATTTCAACACAAAGGTAAATATTTTTTTCGGTTAACTATTTGAATAAATTAATTTTTGTATATATAGACTTCTCCGGTGTCAACAACATATTAAAAAACGAGAAGATGATAAACTATTATAAATATTTGTTTTTTCTTTTTAAATGTTTTTTTTCTCTCTATCAGAAATGTGTATTCGCATGCACAATAAACGTTTAATTATTCATTCTTAACGCGAAATTTGTTCGATATTAATTGTTTTATTGTGTCAGATAATATAAATATGTCTTTAACATCAGTAGTTTTCTGGCCAATTTCAAGTTGCAACAGACTTTACTTTCGTTTTTTTCTTCTTCTTCTCTTTTTTTCTTTTTCTGTCTCGTTTTCTTGTTCTTTCTACAAAAAAACAATAAACCCTTATACTCTTGTGTATCAATGTTTTTCTTCTTTATATTGTGTAATCTTTGATTTTGTTGTTTATTCTTTTGAAAAAGTTACACATTATATATATTTATATATATTTAAAGGTAATACTTGTACTCAAAAAATTATTCTACTAGAAAATGATGGGGAGAAGAAAAAATTAAGCTTTTTATTTTTCCTGAGATGTATTTTTAAAGTGAGATAAGATATTAGGTGATTTTTTTCTTTCGTAGAAAGTTTGGAATCTTATTAGCCGATTAAAAATTATCAATAAATAGCATATGCCCTGGGTATAGTTATAGATATTTTTGTATTTGTATAAAAAACATCTTGATTATAATATGATTATAAATTTTAAATTGTTCTAGAAATAATAAAAGCTTATTGTAAAATATAAATTTATAGTCATGTCAATTTATATTAGCTTATGTATAAATAATCTAAACTTATAATGTCACACTGCCTTCTAGTGCGATAAGAATCTACTTAATGCTTTTTTGAATGGATTCAACAATGTGACATCTTATAATGTCATAGTTTCTATTCATAATTAAGTAAGTCTAACATATAATAGTATTTGTACTCATTATAGCCTCTCTATACAAACAAAAGAATACATTATATTTATTCAATAGACAAAAGGTGTTACACGTGACCATTATTATAAAAGTAACGAAGCTATTAATAATTTATATTGAGTAGTTTTTCACATTAGACAATATATTATTTTATAATTGAAAAAACAAAACATCAAATGTCTAACGAGATGTTTATACGGAAATGAAGTCATAGAAATTTGATAGTTCATTGATTAAAATAATGCAAATTTTTTTGTTTAACTAATACATATATCTAAGTTGATTAAATAAGAGATAATATTTCATGATAAAATTATATGTAGATAAAAAAAAACTATCGTTTATTTTCAATAAATTTTATAGTATTAGGATTGATTCAAAAGATATTTGTTTTATTGATAAGAGCAACCATCTTTTTTGTTTTTAGATAGCGTAGGTAGATTAATAATCATCATTTGACTTAATTTTACAGTCATTCAAATAAATCGAATGATGTTTTTTTCAATAATATTATCCTGACCTGATTAAATTCAGATTTATAGTGAATAATAAATGACCTTTCAATGACAAATATTCGTTGACATCCAGTATTTTTTTATTTATGTGCTATTTTATTTAAACGCTCCATTTATAAAAAAATGTGTTTATCGAGTACGGCAAGCATGTCTTTGTGGCAAAGTAATCGTCACGGTTCATTATTTTTCTTACCGAACGCGAGTGACTATCTATTGAATAAATCACTTGTCAATGTTTTTTTATTTATTGCTGTATTTATATAAAAAACGAACACCTTTAATACTCATCATTTTATCTATTTTAGATAATGTCAAATGATAATGATCGCCTTCGCGAATTTATCTCATCGCCAATCGATCTAACGAAATTTCTGGAGGATGCAAAAAATATGAAGGAACGCATAATGTCATTTCAATCTTCATATTCTATTAATCAAAATAATCTTGATTCATTAATTAATTTATCTAAAACATTAAGTGATTATCGTCATCTTGAACAACAAGATGAAACAACAAGAATTGAAAATAATATCGAAGAAGATGAAAGTCAAGGAGGAGGAGGAGTAGACGAAGAAGATACAACATTGTCTAGTACATGGCGTACAAGACGAAAAAAGAAAAAACTTGATCCATCAATAACAAATAGTTTAAAATCTTATCCAGCGTGTATTGAATATTTATATAAAGAATTTAGTCAATCACGTCCACATGCATCTCATGATACAGCTTTTCTAAAAAATATTCGTGAATGTAATCAAGCAATATCAAATATCGATAATGATAGACTTATTTTAAATTTACAAATATTTTTTCCTATTGAATCACGTGATCGTTATCGTCATCAATTAATGAATGAACTTATATGTTTATCCACATTAACATTAGCACAAATTCGTGATGCTATTGAATGCGTCAGTGATGAACAAATACTTGGTGAATATTCACAAAATCCTGATGATATAAATACCAATGGACAACGTGCTGGTGATGCAAATACGGCAGCTTGTTTTATAATTGAATCAATTGTATATGATGATTTACGACGAACAGATGTACGTTTAAGTGAACGAATTATTGAACAAACAAATACAAATTATACACAAGGTACTTCAATGGAATTAACAAGTTTAAATGATCTGAAAATGATTCAACTTGGAAAACCATATATTTATTTACATCAAACAAATTGTGAACATGTTATCGTATTTAGTGAATTAAAATTACTTGAACAAGATCAATGTCATGATTCAAAGTAAATTTATTTATTTGTTATAAAATATTAGTTTGTAATTTTTAGTCTTTATCCATTGTGTCGAATGAAATATCATGGAAGATTTTCATATTGTTTTCTTTGTAATGTTTTTTATGCGAAATGGCTTATACGAAATTCACCATTGATACCTGATGATCCATGTTTATTATGTGAACGATGTTTTAAAGCATGTCATTATGATAAAGATGGAAATAAAGTTGGCGATTTTTCTGCCTATCATTTTCCACAGTTGTAAACATTTTTTTTTTGTGTTTCTTATCTTTAATAAATACAAGGCAAAAGATCGTTTTTTATTGTTCTGTAATAAAAAAAACGACAGAAAAAAAGAATACGTCGGCTTTCAGTTGTTTTTTTCTTTTTCTTCTACAAAAGAAAGAAAAATGTGTAAGTTCACAGATGCATTAGTATAACAGAATAAATTCTATTAACATAACCAATGCAACCACTCCCTCTAGAGTCATGTGTTTTTATGACGTACAAGGCAGCATGCGATGATCTTCATTTCTTTTCTTTTTTTCTTTTAGTTGTTTTTGTTTTCTATGGTCGATATAGACGAATGACGTAGATTACACATATGAAAGTCGTTTCTTCGTTCTATATGTTACTGCTATTACCATCGCTTCTAAAAGGCTGCCGTCGTGTGTTTTTTTGCTTTTCTTTCATTAAAAACAACGCTAACACATAAAAAAAACTGCCCTACTATCACACAATGACATTATTTTCTTTTTTTTTGGCTATACACTATCATCTATATTCAAAAAATAAAATCCTGTTTAGTTTCAAACATAGATTAGTAATCGATTTGCCCGAAAACAGACGGAGCAAAACAAACTTCATACGAAGGTCAGTAAAGTCTTTTTATTGACTGTCATTAGAGAAGAGCAGAGAGAGAGAGAGAAAGGGCATGACAGACTGTATTTTGTGCTTGAATGATTTCACCTGAGCCAACTCTGCCTACATGCTACCGTACATATATATATATATAGAATATCTGCATATCGGCTACCTCATTATCTATCTTATATAGTTAACGATCACTTATCATAGATTTACTTATAATCAATTGATGAATATTTGTTGAAACGAACACTCAAGCAAGATACAAACAAAATCAATTGCAATGTATAGACTGATGAATGAAGGTAAGTGATTTTAATTAAATATATAAGTAAATTAATTTATTGTTTTTTTTGTTTTATAAAGTAACAAACGAAAACAGTAATAGCAGATCATCATCTGATAATCAATCTATTAGTGGTGATGAATATTCAGTTGAAAAACATAATACAAATCGAATTCGATCTAGTATGAAATCTTCTACTGAAGGAACACTTGGTGGAAAATCAATACCACAAAATAATAATAATACATCAAATACAAAACAAAGTTCATCAACTTCACCCTATGATAGACGACCTTTTCCATTTGGACAATGGTAATTAATTAATTAATTAATAGTTTCCAATAAATTTTATTGTCCTGTATATTTTAGTCGAGTTTGTACAGATAAAGCAACTGGTGCTCATTATGGTGTGCCAACATGTGAAGGATGTAAAGTAAGTTTATAACATTGTAAAAAATATACTATCATTGAATAATAAAACACTCTAAAAGGTACATTTTTTAATGTACATTATGGAGTATATTGACGTGTGACGGTTAATGTGACCTCTACTGTTAATAGAATATTTTCCAGTTAAACTTATTAATATTTCATAAGTTATAAAAAAAAAGAAGAAGCGTTTGAATTTCAACAGATGTTCTATAGAATATTTTGAATTATATTATTGTAATAGAAATCATATCTTATACTTACGTGAATTTATTATTATTATTATTGATATCATTAATTTGTTTTTTTTTTCTAGGGATTTTTTAAACGAAGTATACTACGCAAAGAAAAATATCGATGTTATTTTGGTGATGGATGTGTGATAAATACTGATAATCGTAATCGCTGTAAATCATGTCGTTTTCAAAAATGTCTAAAAGAAGGAATGTCAGTTGAAGGTATAAAAATTTTTTGATTTATTTTTGTCCATTAATATGTCAATATGACTTTAGGTGTACGAATGGGTCGTATTCCAAAATTAGTTAAAGAAAAAGCTTTAGCTGAACATCGTTTATCATCATCTAGTATTGAAAATGAAGATCCAAGTTCACCAATTAATTTTGATATAAATTCTTTGGGATTCGCTGATTTTGATCTTAAATTAATTGATGAACAAGTACTCTTAGATGAATTTGAATCAATATCATTTGATAAATTTCCATCAACAACATTCTCATCATCGAATAATTTTCTTAAAGATGATATGAAACATCAATATGGAACAAATCAATCGAAATTAAATCGTTCAAATCAAAAAAATTGTACAGTTAATGATGAGGAGCAATTTTCTAATAATGTTCTTGCTCGTATTAAAAGTCTTGTAACAAAATTATCTCAACCAATAACATCTATAGAACTTGGTGAAGAAAATTCATCTTTTATTCAATATTTACGATCGAAAATGATTGATTTAAGTAATACACATAATGGATGTACCAAACAATTAATTGAAAGAATGAATAGCATGCTTAATAGCGGAGTAAATATAAAAATTATGAATTTTATATTAAAAATTAAATTTTGTAATTTTAGACTAAAGATTTTCCCGGTGATTGGTCATCTATTCAAGATATCCGAGCTGGATTATCAGGTAATTGGAAAAAACAAAATTTCTTTATAATTTAATCAATAAATGTATTTCTAGATGCTATACCATTCCATGTCAAGAATCTCATTACATTTTCCCGTGAGGTACGCATAAACATATTTTTTGACCCTACTAAACTCATTCACACATAAAGGATTAGCTACATGACATTTGGAACATAACTTTCTCTTGTATACACCAATTATAATAGAGTTCATTGAGGAATACAGTTACAATAGTCTATAATATCGGATTCATTTCCTTTTTATCGATTAATTATATATGATACACAGATAGTTAATTTTGTTTTTTTGTATTATAGATGCCAGCTATAAATGAAATTGATTCTGATGATTTTCATAAAATGATGAACAATCGTTTATTTGATTTTTGGATGGTAAATATTTTTATTATAATTTTGTTTTTTTTAAATTTTTTTAAATGAAATGTTTTAGATAAAACATGCACCATTATTACAAAATAATGAATCTTATATTATGTTACCTAATGGTTTACAATATACTCGTAAATGGATGAATAAAATAATTGGTGAAGACATGGTTGAAATCATGTTTGAATTTGCACAAAAATTTAATGCATTAAAATTAACACAAGAAGAATATGCATTAATATTTCCCGTTGTTATTTGTATGAAAGGTAAATAAATATTTTTGCTATGAAATTTTTCATTATAAAATGAATTTTTTAGATGAAACACTTTATGATCAAGAAACAATACGCCATATTTTATATTGTTATTTATATACATTATATACGCAAATGTTAACAACACGTTCGCAAAGTGGAGCACGAACAGTATTTCGTAGTTTATTACAGGTATGAACATCAATATATACATATATATGCCTATAATATTTTATTAATTTAAATAGATTTTAACTCTTTTACCAATATTAAATGATTTACAAGAGAAAAAAATCGATTCACTAACTCCAGAAAGTAAGTTTATTATTATTTATTTATTTATGTAACTAAATCTATTTATTTATTATAGTTATGGATTCGGAACTATAATGTATCAGTATAGACGATTGTTTTCTTTTCTCATTCGTTCAAGTTCTTTCATATAGCTCAATGATGTAGACTAACCTTTTTTTGTTTGTTTTTTTTTATGTCTGTATGTGTGAATACGTATTTATGAAAAAAAAAAGAAATTATCTGACAAAAAAATTCTTTTTATTTTTGATAACAGATGCAAGATTTAAAAGTAATGTCATGAAAATCTCGAATACAATTTTGTAAATGATAATCTCAGTATAATATTAAGCAAAAAAAATTCTTTTTGAGTCTTGCGTATATCTAAAATATCATCATGACCCTACTGTAGATAAACGCATCTATCAAGATGAGACACTCGCTTGTACATAAAATATACCATATGTATGTTATTAAGTCCCTAAAAATAGTACGATGTCAACACAAGATAAATGTTGAAAAAGTCAGAGTAACAACATTAACATAATATCTCTTTCGGTCAAGGTTATATGACACAAACGAAACCTATGTGTATAATTGTGTGACTTAAAATAGTATTATCAACTGTAGACTGTTACAACAAATATTAAATTAGAAGCGACTTTCATTGTATTACTTCTTAAAAACTAATATGATCCATTAAATATTCTATAATACATCTTATAAGTGTGTAGTAGCCTTTTATTGAATATATCTGAGACAATATAGCTTACTGTTTAATTTTTTTCCTTAACTTTATTTATTTTTTTTGACTAACGAGGGAAATTTTTTCAGATATTCCTCTTAGATTTCAACGAGTTTTAATCTATAATTACTATGTATTATCCTAATAAAAACCCTGAAAGGATTTCAGTTGTAATTGCTTTCGTTTTTGACTCCATAAGACATAATATACAATATTAAACAATCTAAAGTTTTAAATTAGCGAAATAATTTTTTGTGCATTAAACATTTGAGATCGATTTCATTAAGTAAGATGAAATTCCACTCATCAGAAATGGAAAAAAACTGAGAGGTTGAAATTTCTTAAGGATATATTGAACGGTACCATAAAATAAGAACTTCTGACTTTTATATCGTTTTTTAATGAAAATTTAGATTTTTTAATCTTGTATTTATGGTTTATGGAGTCAAAAACAAAACAATTATAACCCAAATCCTTTCAAGGTTTTTATTATGATACTGTGTATTATTTATAGACTAAAAATCAATGAAATCCGAGAAGAAACACCTGCAAAGATTCCCTTGTAAACTAGATATTTTTGTTATAGAGGTATAATTCAAAATACAGCACATTTTTTAGAATAATATTGTTTTTAATATCATATCACTGGATTAATTCATTACTTATTTATCTATCTAATTAAAACTATTTGAAGAAAAAAAATATATATTGTTTTGAAGTTTTTCTTACTAAATAATCAAACTTTCATTTGTTTTTGTTAGAATATTCTGTATTATATTAAATTTATTGAATTGCATTAAAACTAATACATGAAATTGCTCTGCTCTATATTTTCCTTCATTAAAGACGAATAAATCAGTTTTATTATTTTTAACTATTATGAAAATTTAGTTATTTAATAACCCTATAAGAGACTGAAACGACATCTTTATTAAATGAAACAGAAATATGAATATATATCAACTGCTTTTTTCAATGAGAGAAATCGAGATTATTCATGAAAAACATTCACATGGAGAATATGGCTACGAGACAAGATGACGGATACATTCGAATATCTAGATGTTTGACATGAGGAACTTTTTCCGTTCATGTTTACGAAAGTTTTCACATGAATTTCGATAGCACGTTTTAATCTAATAACAGTCTATATGATTTTATCACGTACGAATTATTCGTCTCGAGTTTTACTACTGACAGTATAAGATACAACACAGAAATTTAATCAATTGAATTTTTACATCTAATATCACATAGAAGTAATGAGATACAAAGTCATTTTTTTGAAACGACATTCTTCACTTTTAGTCTCAAAATATTTGTTTCTTTCTTTATAAAACAAAAATTTTCTATTTTTCCAATTCACTTTTTTACATTTTATATGACTTCTCTTGTTCTTATCAAAAACAACAAAGTTCTTTTCATTCACTAATCTATTTTAAGTCATAAAATAATATATGAGAACAAAATCCGCAACATCGAGTTACCAATTTTATTCATATGAAAATTAAACAATGATTCGTATAAAACAAATTTTTCTTAGTGCAATCATTCATTATCTTCCAAGTATCTTGTGAATCTTTTCTCTCGATTTGTCATGTCTTGATATTCAATAAAATACGATCTTCGGAAAAGGTATCTTCATTGAAGAAGAGAAAATGAAAGATGAAAAGATATATACAGGGTGGCCGAAAAGTCACGCACCAAACAAAAAATTGAATATCAACCTTACGGCTTGAGCAAAGAAGCTGATTTTTTTACCAGTGATAGAGGCTTGTATACGCTTTATATTCATAAG